ACAGACCGTACGCCATCAGCTCCTCACAGTATCGAGCTGTGACACCAGCTCCTCTTTGCACATGTTGACCGTTTCACCTCTGCTACTACCTTGCTGTGTGGCACAAAGCAAGGTAGGTTGCATCGTGACATTAAGAAGGCGTCTTGAGATGTCTTGTGAAAGAGCCCAACAAGTCTTAAGATGATCTCAGGTTAGGTTCGGCTGCTTTGATTCTCCTCACAGCAGAGGGTTATCACTTGATACGTTTTGTATTAAACGTTAAAAACAAGCGGAGTCGACCTCGTCTGCACTCCAGGACGATCAGTCTTCTCTAAATCTGTCACAAAAGGCAGCATGGGATCTGCATCCTTCAAGCTATTTCCCTAAACGAAAATATAAGATGTTTATTGTCACAGATTATATTCTAATAATCTGAACGCTCAAAAACGATAAAAGCTGTGGAGGTAAAACAGAACAGAAGAGACTTCAGGTCAGAGTTCGTGTGTTTAATCTGATGGCCGCAGACACACAAACAGTTTGGGATTAAAACATCACCGTCTCATCTCGGATTACCTCTGTCTACCTCCATCTTTAATCTGAAACAGACACACAGGTTCTCCCATCTCTGAGCCGATCCAGTCCCAGGACCCTCATACGGCCTCTAAAACTAACTGGTCTTGACCCCCAGACAGATGAAACATATGATTTTGTACCGGTGAATAAGAACGGACGGACGTTAGAAAGAGGCTCTTTAATCGTCTGTTTCCATCAAGTGTTCCAGAGAGAATCAGTCGTCACGGTGAGCTAGATAACCTGCTCGACGTGCAGTCGGGACATTTCTGAAATAGTTGGTGAAGCTGCACGCCCTGCCGTCGAACAGCAGCGGAGTCGGCAGCATTGTTGTCCTGAGAATGTGCAGCCGCCACATGTGCAGGAATGCAGCCGTGTCTGTTTCAAGGCGGCTGCTCGTTGTCTCTGAAGAGTTCTTCAGGAGATTCTCCGGCTTTAAATTCACTGTGAGTTGAAAAAAACAACAACTTGGTCAAGGCCAACTGGGAGTTGAGTCACCGAAACCACCTCACAGTTAAAGTCTTAAATCTATTGATCCATGATGTTATAGAGGGGGCTCTGTGGACAGATTGTGAACAACGAATATGTTACCTGTAGAGGATGGTGCTTAAAACCAAAATAGATGAACGCCAAAACCAAAAACAACAAAAAATACAACTAGAGGCTAAAACTAGCAAAGATAGTAGCTAAATAAAACAATAATACAGGCAATAATGAAAAACTAGCAAAAAGCTTAGATTAGCTAAACAATTGTTAAAAGCTAAAAGTAGGAAAAGAGCAAATTTTAAGATAGGCAAATGATAGCTCAAGGCTAAAACTAGCAAAACAGCAGCTAAATGCAGCAATGCGTACACAGTAGGTAAAGGCTAACTAAGCAAAACTAGTAAAATGCTACAATAGGCTAAACCATAGCTAAAATTTAAAATTAGCACAATTGTTAAAAGTTTAAAATGAGCAAACAATAGCAAAAACTAAAAGATGCAAAACAACAGCTAAAAGCTAAAACTGATACAACAGTAGCTAACTGCTGCAATGAGTACAGAGTAGGTAAACGCTAAGTAAGCCAAATTATAGTCAAATGAGCTAAATCGTAGCTAAAAGCTAAAATGAGCTAACAGTAGCAAAAAACTAGATGTAAAACAGCAGGTAAAAGCTAAGACAAGCAAAACAACAAGCTAAATTTGTCAAAACTGTTGCTAAATGCTAAAAATGTGCAAAGCTGGAGCTAAAAGCTAAATATAGATAAACAAAAGCTAAAAGGTAATATTAGCAAACAGTGGCAAACATTTAAACTCGTAAAACAATAGCTAAAAGCTCAAATTAGTTAACGTAACTATAAACTATAATTGGTAGAACAGTAGCTAAAACGAGAAATAAGAGAAACAGCAGCTAAAATCTAGTAGATCTAGTAATGAAATGTGCATTTTAAAGTATCTGAACTTTGTCTTTAACATTAGAAGCTTGAAAGCTTTTTGAATCTGACAGAAAATGATGAAGCTGCAGTTCTTGAAACCTCAGAGGTCACAGGTCGGAGGGACAAACAAACGTCTGGTTCAGAGACGAGTCTTTGACTAATCTCGTGACAAAGTCTTTTCCTCCGTCTCCGTCAGGACTCCGGGCGTCAGGCTCCTCCATGACGGCCCAGCAGAAGAACCCCGGCCAGCCTCGGAGACCTTCGAGGGTATTCCTGGAATTTCCTGGAACGCCCAGGGTGGGACTCAGACACGTTTTCACTCTTTCCTGTTTGTTGTTGCTGCTGACATCGCTCACTTCCTGTTCCAGACGTAGGAAGTGGCGCTGAGCGACTCAGTTACCTGAACAGTCACTAGTTCTAGAAAGTTCTAGAAAACAGTCACTAGTTCTCCTCCAGATCCCAGAAATGATTCAGGACTTCCTGCTGTGATGGTCGAAGCTGACGACATGTTTGATTTAAAAACTGTAGGAGAAACGTAAAGAGAGCCCAGATCAAAGGAAACGTTGACGCTGCTGCCAGTGGCTCGTTACTGTCACCATGGTAACCACACACCTGTGTCTGTCACTCCCCTACAGCGCCCTTAATAAGAAAGGCAGAAACACAGTGAAAAATAAGCCTCAGAAGTGGACTCTGAGTAAAAATGGATGTTTACATACATGAACTTTGACATATAGGAAGAATGAAAAGTTAGAACAAAGTGTGAGCTTAGATACGAAGAGAGTCCATGGGGGTCTGGGTGTGTGACCTCTGACCTCTGGGGAGATTTTAGACGAAACAACGGTGAGATATGCTTTATGAAAGAACAGAAAAATGCTCATTTTTAATAAACCGTGTCAGAGAAGTAAAAACAGTTTGTTTACAGACGTTTGAGAAGTTTCTTCAGCTAACACGAAAACTTCAAGCCCACTGTTTTTAATAGAACCTCACGTTTTGACGTTTTTTATTTGTACCAGTTTTTCCACAGATTCAGGAGGAGATTTTTAAAAAGTGTGACGAGAAAAGCAAGAACAAGAGGAGAGCAGCGTGAATCTGCACGCTGGCTGTGCAGGTTGTTTTATCTGCATGAACTAGACGTTAAGAAGAAAATGTGTAAAATCACTATTTAAAGCAGATCCGCCCACTTTGTTGTAGGTTTTAATTGGTTGAAAAATGTTTGCATTAATATAAACGAAGAGTGCCGTCTTAAACATCTGATCTACAAAACTCAATATCAAAAATCGATTATTTTAGTCTAACTACATTTTTGGACATCTGGAGTGGCAGAGAAGTATGTTAGACTGGTACAGGACATGCATGAGGACAGTGGGACATGTATGAGGACAGTGGGACATGTATGAGGACAGCAGGACAGTGGTGAGATGGACTGTAGGAGTGACAGATGGCTTCAAGGTGGAGGTAGGAGTGCATCAAGGATCAGCTCTGAGCCCCTTCTTGTTAACTCTGGTGATGGACTGAAAAACAGATGAGGTCAGGCAGGAATCCCCGTGGACGATGATGTTTGCAGATGACATTGTGATCTTCGGTGAGAACAGGGAACAGTTGGAAGAGAACTTGGAGAGGTGCAGGTATGCACTTGAAAGAAGAGGAATGAAAGTCAGCCGTAGTAAGACAGAGTCCATGTGTGAATGAGGGGGAGGAGGTGGAACAGTGAGGCTACAAGGAGCAGAGGTCACCAAGGTGCAGGACTTCAAGGACTTGGGGTCCACTGTCCAGGAACATGAGGAGTGTGGTAAAGAGGTGAAGAAGAGAGTCCAGGCAGGATGGAGTGGATGGAGGACAGTGGTGAGACCAGCTATGTTGTATGGTCTGGAGACAGAGACATGGACAAAAAGACAGGAGACAGAACTGGAAGTGTCAGAAATGAAGATGTTGAGGTTCTTCTTAGGAGAGACAAGGATGGAGAAGATCAGGAATGAGATCATCAGAGGTACAGCACAGGTTGAACAACTGGGAGATAAAGTTAGAGACGGACACACTGAGATGGTTTGGACATGTCCAGAGGAGGGACAGTGGTTTGGACATGTCCAG